TTTCCTTGGCACCGGAAGATCCTGGGCCCAAACCTAGTTAGTGGTTGAGTACTGCCAGTGAGTCCCAAACTAGAAGGAAAGAGCTGTCCAGTACTCCTTGGTTTTCAATGCTTCTCTAACTGAGATCAGTATGCAGTCAAACCTAAATAGTTGTCAAGTGGAATCGGAAACATGCAGTATGTCATGCTGTATGGGCTTCTGGTAAGTTTTGCGTTCAGTGGCAACATTACCAATTCCAACAAATGAAGTGTACAGTGATCACGATTTGTGATTCTTTTAAGTTTGTGCAAAAATCTCATTTACAGAAGATTTCTCATGGTAATTCTTATCGAAGCAAGCTGTTCAGTTAACCTGAAGACATTTGTCTCATATGTCCATCATAGATAAGGTGGCTTATTACATTAGACTTGCCTTTTTGCATCTTAAGCAATAGAATGACAATTACAATGAAACTGATGGGGATAACATTATGCCTACAGAATTTGTTTCTTCAAAGACTTATTTTCGCAATGACTCAATTAATTTGTGCTCCGTGTTCATTCACTGCGTGAATATTGAGGGAACATCATGTTTTTTCCTTGAATTTATGTATTCTAGGATGAAATAAATCGAATCTCCATAAACCCGACAATTTATGTTAGACCGTTGATTATTGATGATGATAAATGTTGCGTCATACTGGATGCAGAACTCTGTCCCCTCCCCCACAGAACAATCTGGATTCAGTAAAAGCAAATCGTGTGCTGATCGAATTACACTTATGTGCATCATCACTGAAGAAAGCATAGAATGGCAGTCAAACCTTTACCTTAACTTCATCGACTTCGTAAAAGCCTTCGACAGACAACGTTGACCGAGAAGTAATTTGGAAACTACTCCAACACTATAACATACCTCAAGTCTTTATCAACCTCATTCAACAGCTGGTTATATGACAGTGCCACGAGTCAGGTGATCCACAAAGGGAAACTCAGTGAGGCGTTCGAAGTGAATACAGGAGTAAGACATGGCTGCCTATTATCACCAATGATATTCTTAATTGTGGTGGACTGGATAATCCGTCAGACTGTCTGAGGGAGTGAGAACTCAGGAATACCACGTTGTACTAATAAGAAAACTCTAGAATATCTGGATTTCGTAGATTATTTATTTCTGTTATCATACAAACTCGATGACTTGCTGGCGAAAACCAACAAACTGGGGGAACAGGCTGACAGTGAAGACAAGACAACAGGTGAACATAGAGAAGACGAAAATGATGAAGCACCAATTACCATCAACAGGAGAGACTTGATAGAGGTGAATTTCTTCACTTATCTAGGAAGCACAGTTTCAACCACAGACAGCCGAGACGGATGAAGAGGTCAAAGCCAGCCAAAAACGGGAAAGGCAAGATACGCCTTCACCACCCTGAAACCAGTTTGGAAATCTGCTACACTGCACTCAGCCAGCATAAACAACAAGATTCGGATTTTGTTCAACACAAATGTGAAGTCAGTCAGTCAGTTCTTAAATATTGGTCAGAAACGTGCCCTGCGCGTCACGAAAAGGATTCCCAACAGGTTACAGACTTTTATCAACAGCTGCCACCTTTGCTGGCTTCATACTGAAGATCAAAAGGCCAGGAATAATTAGCAACGAGAAACTCTGGCTGAAAACAAACTAATCAAGAGTCAATTACTTAACAAATATGTAGAATCAAATGGAGATGGATCGGGCACACGTTGAGGAGATCGTCGAATAACAGCGTGCGCCAGGTCATCGATCGAGTAGAATCCCAATGAGAAGTGACGACTGTGTCGTCAGTGTGAGTGTGATATGGAGGAGATCGTATGTCAGGAAGGAGGAGACGAGAGATCATGGGCAGTTGTGGGATCAGATGAAGAGGACAGCGGAAAATAGAATAAAATGGAGATGTGTTGTTGAAGCCCTATGTTCCACTTGGAACCTAAGGGAATAATAATCATAATATGAAGTTACCAGAACAAGGATAAGGTTGGATGCACTTGGTATCCTTAGTTCAGCTGGTTCACTGCTGACTTTGCATCGCATTCTGACAGAAGTTGGAAGTCCCTCAATTTCATGAATGTTCCAGGCACATATCTTGCCATCTAATGGTATCATATAGCGGAAGTGACTGTGGAACTAATTCATTCGTCCAGTCTTAAAAACATAAACTTTGTATGACCGTTTTACTCGTAGTATGTATTTGTGAATGATCTTGACCAATGTTATTCTTTCACAAGATGGTTAGAACAGCATAGAAGCATCAAAGACTCACTAGGCCTAACTACATTGATAACTACCTTTAATGATGTTTGAAGGGAGAGTGCTCGGTTAGACGCTTTACAGGATATTGTCAAAAATGTTGACATTGTCATTACTCATATCTTTTAGGGATAAAAAATAAGGTCCAACTTGTGTGCTGTGCCCTATTTGGGACTCATCAGCTAGATACACTTCATCCCCAGTCCCTGATGATATTCTTTTTGAGATTTGAACTCATCACTTATCGTTTCAGATGCTAAGGCATTATCCAAGCAGCTAGTAAACCATGGCAGTCACATATTATCAAATAGTTGTGAGTTGTTATTCTATTTATGCTTTCGAATTCCCCACCGTTTATTTCAAATGAAACACTATCACTTACTAGGATACTTGTACATCCAAAACTGAAGAGTTCCGAATAGGCCGAAACCCTAATCGTGAATTCTCCCGCTAGTGACCATCTATAAGATAACAACAGTGTTGAACACGTGTGGAGTCCTCAAAAAAAATACTTATCCAAATTTTACTACTATGTAAGAAATGAACATATTGTACACTACTTTGTTTTAACCATAAACTCTGTACTTTAAACTTTTACCTCGGGTTTTGAATGAATATATAATTCTGCCTTCGACTCTCCGTCTTTTCCACCATCTCAACTGCCGTCGAACAATTTTAACCACCTGCTTTCTATCTCGAATTTTTTGCAGGAGCACCGTAGTTTCTTCCTACGTACTTTGGTCGACCTCCGGCAACATCAACATTGGAGAATTAGTACTGGAGCAGTCTTCCCGCAGCACCTGGAGTCTATTACGTTTATTGTGGACTTTGGATCTTTGTAAACCCAAGTAACGAAACTTTAATATATTCTTCCCGTAACTAAACGGATTTGGTATTTTATTTTCTATTTGAATTTGGGTAACTAAGCTAACAGAGTAAAATGTACACCACACACGGAAGTATAGCTGGACAGTTCATTCTAGAAGCTAGTGTGTCAACACAAACCATTCATTTCAATCCTGTAAAAGCTAATAGTAATTTTGAAGCCTTCATTAAGTAACGTAAAACTAGATTTTTACAAGAATGGTATAGAAATATTTTGTTTTTTGCTGCGTTCAGTATTATCTCTCTCAGTAGAATTATTTTAAAATTACTTTTTTGTTAAAGATGCTAATCTGGTCTGTCACATATGACATTTAGACCTTATAAAAATGGATAAATATTATTCCGTAAACATATTTCGATGTACTCCTGAGATTAGCATCCAGCTGAGTATCTAAAATGAGTTTCCTTACATTATATGCAATATCTCATAATTTGAATCAGAGAAAATAAAACACAAGATGGAGTACTTGCTTGTTGACTTAGAATACGTAGATGACATAGTCCTTTTAGGTGAAGACGCTGACAAAATACTGCAGAGTCTTCTGAACACCTTGAGCTGCAATCTACGAATGTTTGGCATGAGATTCGCTCCCACCAAATGTAAGATGATGTTACAGGACTGGACTACACTGACTCCTGGTTTAGAAATAGGGAGTGAAGTGGTACAGCACGTTGACCACTTCACTTATTTGGGATGTTGCATCAGCCAACGCCAACAGGTTGATGGCTGACGAAATCTCAGCACGGATACAGAGGGCTAGTTCCGCATATGCCAGTTTACGCCGTCTCTGGCTTAGACGTGATATTCGGTTATCGACTAAAAGACGTGTATACTGCTCAACAGTCCTCTGTGTCCTCTTTTATGGCTGTGAGACCTGGTCATTGAGAGTGGAAGACATGAAAAGGCTAGCTGTCTTTGATCAGAAGTGCCTGCGTCCTATCTCCCGTGTGAAGTGGTATAATAGGGTGATCAATATTGAGGTTAGACGTCGAGTGCTAGGTAAGGAGTGGAAATCAATCGACCAGGTTGTGAAATTATGTCGACTGGGATGGTTAGGACATGTGTTACGTATCACTAGACATCGCCTACCTCGGCGGGAAATGTTAGCTGACATAGGATCAGGTTGGAAAAGAGCTAGCTCGTGGTGGCCAAACCAAAACATGGCTTCATCAGTCAATGAAATCCACAACAGTTTGTTTAAGCCACGTAAGAAGGTGTAGACTTCCTGGTTGGGATCGTCGTGACGGTAAACACCAGTGGCTGGAGACAGTTGGTGATATAACTGGAAATCGTTCTCAGTGGCTGGCGCAGATGCATCCACTCCTTGTGACTTTTAATACCCAATGAAAATATATTGTTCTTCGTTATTACTATTCCTTTTGTCTCATATTCCTGTCTACTGTCTCTGTTTTGCATTTCTTCTACTTACTTCTCTTGCTTTGTGTGCTACACGGAATATGGAGACTTGAAATGCTGCACATCGGTGCAAAGTCCTATGTTGAAAATAGACAGACAGACAGACTTGCTTCCGATGTGAGATAACATTTTATATGGAGTGGTTATCTTCTGTATTCAGGTGACGTGATGAAAGCTATCCTATCATATACTGTACACATTATGACGAAAATTTTACACTCATAATCTTTAATGTACTGTACAGCCCTAGATATGCGTCAAAAGACCTAATTTTTACTGTACTGTATTTGGTGAACAAAAATTAGGTGATGTATTTAACGCCTATTGGCTGATACTGTTTTTTTAACTAGTTACATTTTAGCCAATAAGAATGCAGTAAGTAAGGAAATTAATTGTACATACATGTGAATGCTGAATAATAATATTGTTTGACAAATCGTCGAAAAGACATCCAACAAAAAAAATTTATTTTTCTCATGTCACATTGAAAGTTATGACGATTGAGAACACACTACACATGAATAACTTTGGAAGTGTATAATACATGCACAGTCATTATTATCGTCTTTGAAATAGACGCGCTAACTATAAGAATGCTAATTGGCATTCGGATATTATCCGGTCTGTAAATATGTCCTTATATTCTGTTCAGTTCTATGGATTAACTAGATAAACTAACTCCTAGCATAATGGATATTTTCTTGAATAAATTTCGCCTATTCATCATTGTAATTATGTACATTAATCTGGACATTATTCACAGTTATTCTCAACCATCAGTGAATTTTGAAAGCTTCCACACAGGAAGACGTTTACTCTATTCAGATTGGGAAAGTGCACCTTCCTTCTATTCACCTGGTGGTATTACACCAGATAATGAACCTCGTGCGCCTATCTATCTGGAATTAACAAATAATCTTACCTCGGTGAATGGAGCTTCAGGGATATGTGGTGTATGTGCACGCATATATCGTGTTTTACATATGACACAGTTGAATGCTGCTGAAGAATGCCGACGTCATCATAATTCAAGACAAGCAGCTTTTGGTGATATTACGGAATTTTATCATACTGTAAGTAAATATTGACTGTTCATTTACTGTTATAATAAAGTTTAAACCATTATAATAAAGGTTTTTGTATTTCCCAATGAATGAAAAACAAAACGATATTGCTGTTTTTACTGACGTTTCGCTATTTAATGCTGCTAATAGCTTTATCAAAGTATAGCTATATTAAACCGGAATTTACAAAATCTCAGCATATATATAACAAAGAGTTAAGAGGTGAGAAAATAGACTTAGGTCAAGTTAAAGGGATATAGTGAAAGTCAAAATAACAATGAAGATCACTAAACCAAATAACAAAGGTAATAGTACGTCTGTTATTATATCAAAATAAAGTTTACTAACTTGATCATCGTTCGTCAGTCTGGGGTCATTTTTTGTTTTCAAGTGGGTCAGTTGGTAAAGATTAATAGAGAAACATCAGTTAAAACAATACCCTTTTGTTTTTCATTCATTAGGAAATACAAAAACGTTTATTATGATGAATATCATTTACCCAATGCCCAAATTTTTTCAAACTGTTAAAAGTTTAAGCCACTTATTTAAAAATTCTGCGTCTGTGTCACAGCGATAGAACGCTCGCCAACCACATCTCATGTGGTCTGGGGTTCGGTCTTAGGCCGACACACACTCATAAGCCTCGCTAAGCCGGTAGTAAGGCCTGTAAAGAGGGAAGACTAGCAACCCCACCTCGTAACTTCAAAGCTCTAGTTTGACGCCCTATGTTCCACTCGGAACGCAATGGAATAAAATAATTAATAATAATAATAAATTTAATATTTTGAGTTCAATACATGTATGAATACAGTCTATTGTCGAGTGTTTAATGTGTATGTACCATTATTTGCTTATTGTGGTATTAAAAAGTGAATTAGTTGTGCTTCTTTTCAGCCAAAGTGTGAGGAAATATTCAGTACATCTACAATTAGTTAATCTGAATGATTGATGACACGAGGATTTGAAAAGGAATTAAAGTGAGGGAATGTCGAATGAAGATGACTAATTGCACAGTTGATACCCTTTTGTTAGGTTATTCAGTGTTGGATCATTCGTGTGAGGGCTAACAATCTGCAAAAACCCGTAATAGAAATATTAAAACATGAGGGGTCAATCAGTGATTCATTTTTACACATACTAGTTCTTCCCATCCTCTTTTCTTCTGGTTATTTTTCGATTATTCATTATTTCTCTGGCCTTTGCTAATTATTTATCATGTCTCCAAAGTTTTCGGCTGAGGATCAATTAATCAGGAATAATCTTCCATTTCCTTTGATTCGTCCAACCGTATGGTATTATAAGGTTACTACTTATATTTATATAGTATAGCTCATAGAGTAATGTCTAAATTTGTACCAGACTTCGTACTTGAACAGTTTCATGTTAAATATCGAAATACGACATTTTCAGTGGAAAGCATTCAGGTAACAGATGTTACCTCCGCAAGACAATATAATAAATCTTTTAGGAAATATTTTTTTTAAATCCAGTGAAAACCAGGAATTATTTGATTGGGACCCAAAAGTTTAATGAACTAAACTCGAACCTAATCGACCCATAACAGCTTCATACTTTTGAGTGCTAACGTGTGAAAAGTCATGGAAAGTAGTCCTAAACCTAGAAAATCCACCCCCCATTCACTCTGTGCGAACAAACTTTAGTTTATGATAGAAAAGTTTATTATTTCTGTAAAATTTATGCTTGGATGCTCGTGACCTTAACTGATAAGTTGGTTTGATCATAGTTTAAAGTGGAGTTTGACTCCATTGATAAGTCTTAACTGATAATAGCTGTTAGCATTAAATCCTGCTTTAAACATCATCCATTTATGAATAATTTCATTTTATATCGAATTACCTTATCAGATATGGGAATTAGTTTATCATACTTTAATTTTCCTAAATTTTTGCACCCCAGTCGACTTGTATTCAGAAACATGAACAAGATACCTTGATATTTTCTGTATAGTATATTTCAAGATATTCTCTCTACACTTCATCAAGGAGATTCTTATAGTTCCTGTTGAATAAATAACTGAAATTTAGTCATTTACTCCAATGAATTCTGCCTGATAAGTCACTGACTGACGTTTTTACTTTCTTCAATCCGGGCACACTCGTAGTTTGCAGCTTTGTCTACCTTTTTAAGTGACAATTTTTCTTCCACAGAAAAAAATTGATTGATTGAGACGTTTACTGTTTATCTGTCCTACTTAACATGATGAAATATTCAACAGGTAATGATTCTGTTTTGTTTTTTTCTACCAAATCCTCAGAGAGTGTATGACTTGTATTACTTGTGACTGTAGCAGTAAGATAGTTGGTTACTAAGCAACTAATGCTCTTGAATGATCAATTTAACATACTGACTAGAGAATAAATAAACTCATGTTTTCCAATAAGTGTTCATTGAATTCTGCCTATCATTTAATCAGAGTGATATTTTAACATGAGCATAATATTTGGTATATGGCATCAGTTCACTCGAATATAGGGTGTGGGGCGATCTTTTTCAATGAAAAGTGATAAGATATACACAGACTGGTCTTAGACTCTGTGCTAATTTCGTAAGACCATGTAAAATCAGTCGATATTTTACAAATAGGGGGTCTTCTAAATCTATGACAACATCAAAAACATAAGTGGTTGAGTCTGGTTAGTTCGTAGGACTACAAAACATACCGTTCAGCGGGTGATCAGTTGTTGTCTACTGACTGTAGTTATCACAGTCCATTTTAAATGGTAACAAGTATACTAAATACTGAGTCTTAATAATAATAATAACTTAATTCCAAACAACAACAATAATTATACAGAATGGAATTTTCAGCGTTTTTATACATATTGCAACAGTTTACCTCCTTTTATAAATATTTGCATACATAAAATTAAAAACAGTAATAATAGTGTTAATAATGAAAGGAGTGCAATAATCGAACATCTAGTCAACACTGGTCATTCCATCTCAACGAACGCCTCCTTTAAAGTGATCTACAAAGTGAAGAACAACCTCCCAAAGACAGTACGATTTCGTCTTCTTTGTATCGCAGAAGCCCTAGCCATCCAGTTGGTTGAACCAGAACTATGCATACAAAAGAAAATTATCCAACCACTTCTACCCGCATGGTAACAACTCCGTTGATTTGACCCAACTCTTCTTTGTTTGTTTGACCTGACCTTACTTCTGTTTGTATGCTTATTTTTTCTAACTTAAAACCCTTGTGTAATTCTATATATTATTTTGTTTCCATGCACAACCTTTGAGTACAACTCATTCATCAAACTATTCTTACCATTACGTAACTCTTATTTAACAATCATTTATGACAACTCATCACTTTTGTTACTACCCTCTTATATGAACATCCAATTCACCTAAACTTACTCCTCTTTAACAATCATTTTGACAACTCATCACTTTTGTTGCTATCCTCTTATCAACATCCAATTCATTTGAACTTACTAACCGTATTTTGTTTGACAAATTTAATGTATACACACACACACAAAATAACCATATATATTTGCGATTGTACAGCTTTGAAAATGAATTCGCCGAAAAGAGACTCTTTGCTGAACTACTTGTCTTTTGTCTAATAATGAAACCACCACTACAAAACAGAATGTTGGTGGAAACATAGTGAAGTATAAGTAGATAGTATCACAGATGATACATGTAAGAATAATCTTGGCTTATACTTTGCAGTTCACTTACTGATTTAAAAAGTTTCTAAGCTCTTTTCTGACATCTAACTCTCTCTTCACATAAAACCCGTGATAATTATCGTCGAATGGTAGAATTTTTATCACCGAAAATACCCATTGAGTCATGAAGAAAATAAAAGACAAATTCAGCGGAGAAAATTTTCCCTTTTTTATCGACGAAATCATCTTCAGAGGCTGTACAGTCGTATTTACACTTACCAAAAAATATATAGTGGTCTATTTGTGAGTAATAGGGGGTGACATAATTGATATAATTATTCAGAAGTGGCTTTAGAAGTGAAATTTAAAAGTTGTAAATTACGTGGTACTCAGCGGCACAAAGATAGAAATTTGATAAGGTTAAAATTGCTATTGAATGAGAATAAAGCTGGTAGTTGAGTGTCAATTTAACAAGTGTGAAGAGGGTGTGAAAATGCACAAAAGTAACATATGGGAGTGATAATAGTGAATTAATTAATAAAGCAAAAGCAAACTAAAAGTAAAATTTAAAATTTAGAAAAAAAGAGAAAATCAAAATTTTTTACAGGGAACGACTAGTGAAGAGGTTAAGACCAAGGTAGAATAAGAGACTGGACAAACGTTTTCTGTATACAGAGTTCAGGGTTGTATTGACGAATTGCCAGCGCCTCCACCATACACAAGTGTCGAAACTTGACGCCCTTTGTAACATTTGGCCTCACCTTGTAGATGATCTTGAAAGACGACTCTGGTGGAGCTACGTGGCCTGAGTTCACCAAGTGCTCGAGAACTGAGCTAGTGATTGTCTTACATTGTCCCTTTGCTAACCATGCCGGATAATGTTTAGATAATATGCACACAAAGCGCACACTTTCCAAACGCATCTCTGAACAGTATTAGACCACTATATATATTTGGTAAGTATAAATACGACTGTACAGCCTCTGAAGATGATTTTATCGATAAAGAAAATTTTCTTCATAGAATTTTTATATATTCAGTGGCCGTACGAGCGTTAATTCTTATGAGGTTTCTTCTGGTTCCACCCGAAGATATACAAGGCGAAGTTGAGAATAAAGCGGATGTTTAGTATCAGACAAGATAACTTTAGCCAAATGCTCCTAAAAGTTGAAGTACCTATTGACAATAATGTCAGTGAGTTGACTCAAAACACACACCATTAACCCTACTTACAGTCATCAGTGTTTTATATAATATGATATAGTCTTTTTCGAGAAGTTCAGCGAAGAATAATGGTAAAAGTGTAACAGTCAAGTAAGTAGACCTTTCAACTGTTTTCTATCATTCTATATTGCATTCTTTATT